CTTGTGTGACCACGAGCTGTCGAAGGGATCAGGTATCAAGCATCAAAGAACAAAAAAATCTTATCATTGTAAACGTGGGTGAGTGCAGAGTGGAGACCCAAAGCCCATCGGTAGGCAACTGGACACCCCCTTACTGAAGGGTTTTGGGGAGGAGATGAACCAATCAGGGTGCAGGGTAGCAACGATGAAACATATAACTTTCCTCTAGTTCTTGAATGCTTCCTGCCCCCACTATCATGATCCAAATTCTACCCTACAAATCTGGCTAGACCAGAAGATGTACATTGGTACAGAAAGCAAATGGAAACACAGGGAATCCAGGACGATGACTCCTTCAGGACCAGTGGTGAGAGGGGCGAGACCTGGAGGGTGGAGGGAATGTGGGGTAGAAAGGGTGAACTGATTTCAAGAATCTACGTACAGCCTCCTCCCTGGGGGATGGACAGCAGAGAAGAGGGTGGGGGGAGACATCGCACAGTGTTTAACTTATGACAATACAATAATGATTTGTGAATTATGGAGGGTATATGAGGGAGTGGGGAGGTGGAAGGAGGGGGGAAATGGGCAGCTGATATTAGGGGCTAGAGTAGAAGGCAAATGTTTTGAGAATGATGAGGGCAGCGAATGTACATATGTGCTTGACACAAAGGATGTATGTATGGATTGTGATGAGAATTGTACAAGCCCCCAATAAAATAATTTTTTTAAATGTGCTTGACGCAATTGATGTATGTATGGATTGTGATGAGTTGTATGAGCCCCCAATAAAATGATTTTTTTAAATAAATAAATAATTTGGGACCCTACACATCAGGAAACAAGGCGGCATAATGGTTATGCAGTGGGCTGCAATCGGAAAGGTCTGCAGTTGGAGAGTACCAGCTGCTCCTCAGGAGAAAGATGGAGCTTTCTACTTCTGTGAAGTTACTCTTTCAGAAACTCAAGGGGCAGTTCTGCCCTGACCTAAAGTAAAGGGTTGCTATGAGCTGGCATGGACCGGATGGTGGTGCATGAGTCGTATACTGTAGTACTTGAAATCCCACGTTCAAAGTAACCACAATAATGTTCATCATGTGGGATTTGGATTTATATTAAATGGTATTTTGAAAGAAAAGCAGTTATCGTAAGAGATAATATAGTAAATTTAGAATAAATTTATTCTTATAATTATTAAATTGAAAACAAAAAACTACAGGAGCAAAACTTCTCAGGAAGGTGCTTTTAAAAAGATACACAGGGAAGAATACCATCTCACATCTACAGCTGATACAAATGGATGAGGTACGTGTGACCAAAGTCCATCAGACAGAGCGTGAGTGGGAGGTGACCGAGGAGGAACACAGGATAGAAATGGAAGTGCTCAGTAAAAGAAACCACATTGGGAATGAAAACTACAGACTGTTAGTAAGGAATGGCTGTTTCCTCATTCAACCAGCCCTTTCCCAACTCACCCTAAGACTGCAGGTGAATTCATTACAACTACACTCTTGTAATTGTGTGTTTGGCAATAAAAGGTTGAGACATGAACACACGGTCTGTTAGCTGTAACAACAGAGCAAGGACTAGGAAACTTAGGGCGGTTGGTACTCATATTTAAGAATACATTCACGTAAACAGCTTCACCCTTTCACTGGCAAAGAAGCTGTTTAGTCTTCTATAGTTTACCACTATGCATGTTGTTGGCAAGTTCTTGTTGGCAAGTTTTTGCTAGCTTCTCAGCACACAGTAATTCACTGTGATCTCCCTCCCCTCACATTTCTGGAATCACAAGATTCACCCATTGATCCTCAAATACCATCACAAAGCTTCGTGAATGAAATTCAGATACTGGAAACAATAGGTTGTAATTCAAGTCCTACTCAGACTTTGTCTATTTACCCAACAATATTTATTGAATGGTTATCATATACTATGGGCGAAAGAGGTTGTTTTCTACTCCCATGAAGAGTTAGTCTCCAAAACACCTAGGGGTAGTTCTATCCTGACCTGTAGACTGCAATGAGTCGGAACCGACCCAATGGCCGTGAATTTTGTTTTGGGGTTTTTTTAACATCACATGCCAGTTACTTCTTCAAAGCACTAAGGATGAAAGAAAAATGGTCTTATAACCATCAGCAAACAAGGTACAGTAATAATGCTCAAAGCAAAAGTTAGAGCAGGGGAAGGGGACAGAGAGTGAATGGGATGTGCTCTTCTGTTCTGAGTCTGTAATGAACAGATCTCTCAGCCAGGATATGCATGACTTGAGGAAGAGGGAAATGGTGATACCCCTGAAAGAGTGGCTTAGCCAGCAATCCCCTGCTGGGCATATGCCCCAAAGAAATAAGAAACAGACCACAACCAGTCGTCAGTGCTCCAGTGTGCATTGCGGCACAGATGTCCACAGCAAAGAGTTGGAAACAACCTAAATTCCCATCAACGAATGAATGGATTTAAAAACTCTGGTATATACATGCAATGGAGTACTACATCCCTAAAAAGCAGTGATGAACACATCAAGCGCATCATCTCATGGGAAGAGTTGGAGGAAATTATGCTAAGCAAAGTAAGTCAAACACAAAAGGACAAGACTACACGGGAGCAAACTAAGAGAGAAAGAAAGAGAAGCGCAGGCTGGGTCACCTATCCTCAAGGAAGACATTCCTGCTCTGAGCAGCCAATGCACAGAGACAACCATAGTGCCGGCCCAACCACAAGACATGACAGCCTCTAATCCACAGCACTATGGAGGGAAGCACTGGAGACACAGTGCAGGAATCATGCTCAGTCAGACCCCTCCCACACCAGGTTGAACCATGAAGGGAGTGCGACAGAGCAGCAAAGGGAATTCCCCTAGGAACCCCCAAAATAGACTTCTGACTAGGGGCGGGGGGCTGGGGGGCAGGCCTTGGCACCTCATCAGACCTGACTGGAAAACATTCATAAAGGTCAGCAAAGGGACCTGGAACTATTTATAGGCTTTCCCCCCACCCCCCATGTCCATCTAGATAAGATAGGCAAGATTGTTTACAATCTCGAGGAGAAAACAACAGGACAATGGTTCCAGGAAGACATGGGAGAAGAGGAGGCGAGGGAAAGGGAGGGGGAGCCAACAAACCCAAGGACAAGGGAACAACAAGAGATCTAAAATTGATGGCGAGGAGAGCATAGAACACCTGGCGGGGTTTGATCAAGTGCAATATAGCCGAGACAAATTACTGAGATGAATGAAGTTCAAATATGATAGTGGGATAGGAGTAAAGAAAAAGAAATACAGTCAAGAACTAGGAAGCAAGAAACATTTATAGAGGTATAAATATAGGTATGTATATATGTAAATATAATAACATATAACAGTAGGGATAAAGGTTTCGATATATATTTATATGTTAAGTATTAAGGTAGCAGATGGACATTGGGCTTCTACTCAAGTCCTCCCTCAATGCAAGAACACTTTTTAAAAAAATCATTTTATTGGGGGCTCATACAACGCAAGAACACTTTGTTCTAATAACCCGGCATTCTGCGATGCTCACCTTCCTGACATGATCGCTGAAGTCAAAATGGCTACATAAGCAATGTGGTGAAGAAAGCTGATGATGTCCAGCTATTACAAGATACAGTGTACGGGGACTAAAAGGCTTGAAGTTAAACAAGTGGTCATCTAGCAGGGAAGCAACAAAGCCCATATAGAAGAAGCGCACCAGCCGGTGTGATCACCCGGTATGGACGGGACCAGATATCAGGCAACAGAAGACTCAAACAATCAATCTATGCAAATGAAGGGGATCAGAGTGCAGACCGAAAGCCCATCTGTAGACAATTGGACATTCCCACACAGAAGGGTCACAAGAAAGGGACAAGCCAGCCAGGGTATACTATAGCACCAAGGAAACATACAACATTCCTCTAGTTCTTTAATGCTTCCTCTCCCCCCACCCCACCCTATCAATGATCCCAGTTTCACCTTACAAATCAAGCTAGACCAGAACATGTACACTAGTACAGATAAGAGCTCTAGACATGTAGAATCCAGAACAGATAAACCCCTTAGGTACAGTAATGCGAGTAGTGTTGCCATGAGGGTATGTGGAGGATGTGGAGAGAGGGGGAAAAAGGGGAACCGTAATGATCGACACATTACAACACCCCCCCCTCAAGGGGGGAGAACAACAGAAATGTGGGTGAAGGGAGACAGTGGACAGTGTGAGATATGAAAATAAAAATAATTTATACAAGGATTCACGAGGGTGGGAAAAGAGTTGCTGATACCAAGGGCTCAAGTAGAAAGAAAATGTTTTGTAATCAATGATGGCAACATATGTACAAATGTACTTGATACAATTGACGTATGGATTGTTAAAAGAGCTGTAAAAGCCTCAGTAAAATAATTTCTACCAAAAAAGAAAAGAAAAAGTGTCTTAGGCCAAAAGAATGTTAAGTATGGGATGTCTAAGAATATTCAAAGAAGGAAGGAAGCTACTGTACACAGAAGCAGAGGGAACTTGAAAACAGAACAATACAAGCAGAAATCAGAACAGGAATCATGAAAGGCACAGTGAGCTACTGCATTATCATCTGTGTGACAGGAATCTTGGCTGATTTTAACCAAGACACTGCCATTAATGTAATTTATATTACAAAAGGATTATTCTAGTTACTGTATGAACACAGACTTCAGGTATGTGGATGGAGAATGTAGAAGCAAAGATATCAAAAGAGCTCACGGATATGGCTCAATGGTTTGCTAGATTAATAGCACTGTAGCAATGGTGGTGCTATGTTTGAGCTCTGGGTGCATTTTTTTAAGTAAACCTAGTATGAATTATAATGATACCCAAGAAACCGGTATTTCAGGTGATCAATGTGGCTTATGAAAGAAAGTCATCGATGACCAAGTTTCTGGAAAAGTGAGTGGATGAAAGTGTTAATAAAATTAGATTCAGCTGTTCAAAAACAGCATAAGCAGTACTGACATAAAGTTGAAAAAGCAAAAATAATTGATTGTTTTGTCTACTTACCACTTGCAGATTGTATCATATTTCCGGATTTTTGGACTTCATCAAATTTTGTAAAAATTACATTCAGCCTGTATGAAAGTGAAAACATAAAAGTTTTTAACTATCGCTGTTTGTAATTATATTAAAATACTAAGTGAGGTGTTAGCTAAGCCCACATGGAACAAGCAAATTAGCCTGTATGAGCCAAGGATTGTACATTAAAAAATCCAAGATCAGAGGAAGAGCTTAAATTCTGTGCACCTAGTTTGTAGAAGACTCTGGTTGACAGTAAACCCCCAAATCTGTGTGCAGAGACCCCTCGGGAAATGAGCCTCAGCTGAATTCCCTAAGGCCATTGACTGGGAATGTAGAAAGCCCTGCCCTTGGACAGTAGTGTATCAGAAAGGGAATTAATAAAGATACATTTACATGAAAATTGAAAATCTTATTTATTTTTCCATTTAATCCATTCTTAATGTGTTCTATTTTTCATTTTCTTCTTTCTTTAGATTGAAAAAAAAATGTGATCAATGCCATTGAACAAGATGACAAGAAATCATTGAATGAGAACCTAATTTGCCGTGTAAACTTTCACTGAAAACAATAAAATTTTATTTTAAAAATACTAATGTGAACTTAGGTCATGCCATCAAAAAAATTAAATAAATAGTAAAAATACCATATCAACAGTATTTATGTTAGTAATAGTAAATGCATCAAAAACATCAACAGTCAGAATAACTGGACACTTATTAGGGACCTCCTAATCCTCAAAACAGCCTTATCATCATTCCTTTTTTGCATATATGGAAATCACATTTACAGGAAAAGATGCCTTCCTTAAGCGTTAAAATGCCGAGTCCATGTCCTTAGACATTTAAGTGAGTGCCCGATATAAAAGGCACAACCATCTTTCCCACTCCTTCTAAACACAGACTGGCAATTTCTTAGCATAATATTTTTCTAACTGTACCAGGATTTCTTATAAAGCCAAGGCACTTCTGTGATATATGGCTAATTCAGAAATGATAAAAATAATTTCTCTAAAAATAGACACTGCAAATCAGAAACAATCTATTGCTTGGGGGGGAAATTGGGTTGACATTTATTTTCTATTAATGACTCATTTTCACATAGGTATTTAAATTGAAGTAAAACTGCTTAACCAGTCAAAAACTCCATGCTAGTGATACCACACATAAAAGAAAAGGTACAGTGAGGGGTAATAAAAAAAGAGACTACGCAAGAAAAACAGCAGGATAAGATTAGAAACAAAGATTCCAAAATGATGTACTCTTGTAATCTGTGCCACTATTTTAAGAACTAAAGTAGTTTATTTTAATACTTTCTTCCAAACTTCCCTATCATTCTAGCACTAATCATTTCAAACATGTTTGTCTTTCCTTCCCAGCCAGAACAGAAAGAAGCTCTGTGGGTGTAGGGGTACGAATCACACTCTCGGCGTTCCATACACACCAAGTGCTCACCCAGTAGTTAATAGGACTGTGTATTAGAGAGCTGGAACCTCAAACCATCCCTGCCCTCACACTGGAAATCTTCAGATACTTCCTATATTTTAGCCTTCTAATTCTTTTTATCCATGCAGCCAGGTCTTGAGTTCCCATAATGAGTCTATGTTCTCTTGAGGTTTTATTCTAGGAGAAGAGTCAAAATCACACATAAGCAAACCAAGGTAAATGAAAGTAAAAACTAGTCTAACGTGTTGCCTCTTGCACGTGGCAGTATTTACGAATTAAATACAGTATCCACGGTATTTACGAATAATCTCTTAGAGTCTTCTGTACAGCTAGGCAGAGACATAATCTCAAAATACTTCTAAAGAAACGTTCCCAGCAATACTGACAATTAATCAAAATTTACATTGAAATAAAAACCTGTTTACCATCTCAAGACTAGTTATGAGTATAGTGTTCACTTACTTTCAGACCTAGTGGGGACTAAAGATCTGGAAAGATACCTTAGAATCAACCTTTTAAGCATTTCCACTGCCTGCCCTCTTACAAGTCACAAAGATCTCTGGTGGCCTGACAAGCCCACGAACAATACCATTAGTAAGCAGGTTGCCAGGGGGCCTGACCAACCCAGCACTTTATTGGGTCACAACCACACCCTCTGACTTGGTCATGTCCCTAAGTCTGCAAATTCAGCCCAAGGTATATTTCTCATCCAGTTGTTCCTGAAATGACTTTGAAGGGGTATATATTCCTTCTGTTTCAGGAACGGTGTCCACCAATATCACCGCGAAAAGTGGAAAACTCTGCAGATGTTCAGTCGATGGTAATGGCTTCTCCTGTGATTATATTACCCACATGCAACAGCCCCAATGCAACTAGTTACCACAACCTAGAGAGTACTTTAGAATCTAGATCAAAAGGAGGGAAAGAAAGGCAGACAGATTTTCAAATTCTATAGATTTCCTAGAGCCATGATGACTGAATAAACCTATGAAACTATTTCCATGAACAAAATATTAAATCTTAAACCAAAAATATCCCCTGAAGTCCTCTCAAAACAAAACAATAATTTAGACTAACTAGTCAAAAAGATCTGCCAAGGGGGTCTTAAAGGCTTAAAGTTAAACAAGCAGCCATCTAGCAGTGAAGCAAATAAGCCCACATGGAAGAAGCACACCAGCCTGTGTGCTCATGAGATATTGATGGGATCAGGTATCAGGTATCAAAAGATCCAAAACAACTATACTAATGCAAATGAAGGGGTTTGGAGTGGAGACCCAAAGCCCATCTGAAGACAATTGGATATCTCCCTCACACACACAGAAGGGTAATAGGAAGGGATGATTCAACCAAGGTGCAATACACCAGCAAAGAAACACACATCATTCATTCCTCTAGTTCCATCATGACCCACTTCCACCTTACAAAGCGGGCTAGATTGGAGAACACACATCGGTACAGATAAGAGCTCTCAACACATGGAATTCAGGACAGATAAACCCCTCAGGAACAGTAGTGGGAGCAATGATGTCATGAGGATAGGGGGATGGTCAGGGAAGGGGAAGGGGGAGAAAGGGGAAACCTATCACATGGTTGGCTACATAAACCCCCAAAGGGGACAAATAACAGAAATGTGGGTGAAGGGAGACAATGGACCATGTAAGAGTCAAAATAATAGCAATATATAATTGATCAAGGAGTCACAAGGGAGGGCGGGGGAAAAAGAGGAGTTTATACCAAGGGCTCAAGTGGAAAATGTTTTGGAAATGGTGATGGCAACATATGTACGAATATGCTTGATACAACTGATGTATGGAATGTTATAAGAGCTGTAAGAGCCCCAATAAAATGATTTAAAAAAAAAGATCTGCCAAGCTATCTGTATTCTTTTCACATAGGATCAAATTGAAAACAGAAACGGCACTGATTAGATAGGACCCTTAGGTGTCAGTGTATTTATGTTAACGAGAAGAGGAGCAATCCAGGATACTGAAAGGGGCTACAGCACAAGAGGAAATGCTACCACTCAAGGGCACACACACGAAGAAACTGTTGCATTGGTGGCTGTCCCCAACAACACACTAAATAAAGTCACAGGAAAATGCTTCTCTATTGGCACCCACACCTTAATTCTGAACTCCTTCAGGCAGAAATAACCAATGATGGAGAGAATGTGGTGTTCGGAACCCTCACATGTGGTGGGGTGTGTAAAGTCGTCTGGCGCTTCCTCCAACAACTGGGAACAGAAATGCCACATGACCCAGCAATCTCACTACTTGGTATCGACCCTACAGAAATAAGAGCAAACAAATGCACACCCATGTTCATCTTAGCACTACCACAGCAGCAAGAAGACAGATAACTTAAATAACTATCAGTAAAAGAATGGACAAATAAAACTTCAGTGCATAAACAAAATGGAACCGCTCACATTAAATCAGCGGTTCTCAACCTGTGGGTCACGACCCCTTAGGAGGTTGAATGACCCTTTCCCAAGGGTCACCTAAGACCTTTGGAAAATACCTATTTCTGATGGTCTTAGGAATCGACACACCACTTCTCTACCTGTCTCCAGGTGGGTCTGCCCACGTGCAGATACGCCCATATCCGAATACACGGCATGAAGACTGTTACCCATGCTACACCAGGCTTCCAGACAAAATTTCATTTATTTGTCATTAGAAATAAATATTCCGCAATATATAATTATATACTGTTTTCGTGTAATCACTCTGCACTAATTTTGTTCAATTTGTAACAAGGAAAATGCATCCTGCATATCAGCTATTTACATTACGATTCATAACAGGAGCAAAATTGCAGTTATGCTGTAGCAACGAAGATAATGTTATGGTTGGGGGTCACCACACATCAGTAAGTATATTAGAGGGTTGCAGCCTTAGGAAGGTTGAGAACCGCTGCATTAAATAATGATGAATCTGCAACACGCCTCTTGGCATTATGTCAAGTGAAATTAATCAATCAGAAAAGGACAAATATTGTTCGAGACCACTGTCTTAAAAAATCAAGAAGGCTTCCAAACAAGCAAACAAGCAACAAATAAACTGACGATTTCAAGAGGGAGGAGAGGAAGGGGAGTACTAAGGCTAGAGATCACAGAGACGGAGGCTGGGGTAGGTGAGGATGGAATGGGAAGAGGGAAAGTCACTGGGAGGCTCGATAAGTGGTTGGATCGAAAAGTGATCCATTCTGTAAACACACACCGATTTCACACACACAGAAAACAAAAAATGGTAAGAAGACAGCAGGGAAACTAGAATACAGGAAATAGAACAACCAGAATATAATCCAATTGTAGGAGAATGTAACCCATGTACAACTTACAAGGAAATTACAAAATACGAACTTGACTTGCTATGTAGAGATTCACCAAAAAATAAAATTTTTAAATATATGTTTTATTTTAAAATGTAGGTTTTTTCTTATAAAATTTATTATAGAAACTTTACGTAATCTCCTATAAGCTAATACCAGTAATTTCAGAACAAGCACCTCCCTCCCCAAATACATAAGAGTTCGTAATCAACTTTATCACCTACACGGAGATATAAGGAACTGCCACATATGCTAGACAGGCTGGAAGACGGCCGAGA